TCAGAACTTCAAGGGCTGACTTTTCCCATGTGACTGTTGAAGTCACTGCATTAAAAACTGGGGAGCTTTGTAACTTATTAAAGAGAAAAAATGCGTAGGATTATCTTTTTGCGCCAAGAGCTCCTCTTGAAAAGGTTTCAGTATCATCACTAGGGAAAGGAAATGAGAGACTCAATCACACTATTATGCTTCATTCTGTTCATAATCAACAATTCTAGGAGCTTCTGCTTTACCAGTAAACTAAAAGACTCTATATAAATTCATGAAAATAAGTATATAACTATTTGGTTGCTTAAAAGATTCTGTAGCAGATTACTTAAGAAAAAAGAAAAGGTTTCAATAGTAGATAGGTTTAGTGAAATTTTGCTGCTTGACCTAATTAGACCATGTCATATTTTGTAGCCTTCATATGGAGATATTATTGCTACTGCTGACTTTTGACCCATTATATTTGTATGCAGTAAACTGAATTCACTTTTGGGGGTTTAAGTTTGTCAGAAATCATTATAACAATTCTTTTTGGTCAGATGCAATTCTTCACTTCAATCTTACCCTCTTAACAGCAGACTCATACTCCCAATTTTGTTGTCTTTCAGATGACAACAGCTATTTCCATTGAGGATGTCAGAAGGGAAGTTAAAATTTTGCGCGCCTTAACAGGACATAACAATCTTATACAATTCTATGAAGCATTTGAAGATCGGGATAATGTCTATATTGTGATGGAGTAAGAATCTAAACCACATTAGTGAGATCTAAACCATTTCTTGTAAGGTTTTTCCTGTCTGTCTTAGTGACACTCCTTAAGGAATAGGACAAAGTAATATAGCGCACATCAGAGAAGAAAGTTTCCCCTTGGCCTGGTGATAATTCATGTAAGCACAACATGGAAGAAAGTTTGGGTACTAAGCCACAACTTAGTTACTCAAAGAAAGTGCATAATGCTAAACCTTATAGCATCAGGCTTTAGAAGAATTTCTTTTGAATCCCGAGCATGTCCTTTTTAGAATATGAAAGCTAAGGAAATTCTTGTAAATTGTTGTTCAGGTTATGCCAAGGAGGAGAGCTCCTTGATAGAATACTTGCACGGTATGTCTTTGTTTGATTTAGGGAATTTTACTTCTAATTCATTGATTTGTTTTTTTAAGATATTTCTATTTGGGGATAGTATTTAATTTCCTTCTCATTTCTTTTGGTAGGGGTGGGAAGTACTCCGAAGAGGATGCAAAGGATGTCATGGTACAAATATTAAATGTTGTTGCATTCTGCCATCTCCAGGGTGTTGTGCACCGTGATCTTAAACCCGAGGTAAACATATTCCTCAAACTGGCATTGCAAATTAGAGTGTTACTTACTTTTTATTTAAAAAAGAAAACAGAGAGAAGCACTTCATTGTTTGAGTTTTTCTGGAACGTGTGTGGTATGCTAATGATACCAAAGAGTGCCTTTAGCTTATTACTTTGATGGACACTGAAGATCCTCTGAATACAAAGTGGAACTGTTTTAATATCTTTCCTTGCTTGTAACGTAGCTGCTGTGCACATCCATCCTCAAAAAACCTTTATATGATAATTATCATGGTGATTAACTAACAAGGACATGAATTTTTTTATGTATCATATCTCCTTTTTTTTCTTTTGGTATTTTTGCAAAAGTATCTCATTTTTTCCATTTCCTGTTCAGAATTTTTTGTTTTTGTCGGAAGATGAATCCTCCCCGTTAAAAGCCATAGATTTTGGCTTATCAGATTTTGTCAGACCAGGTTAGTTTTTGCACATGCAGGTTCTATGAATTCTTATATTTGTCTTCTCCATTAAACATTTATATAAATATAATGTATGCAGATGAAAAGCTTAATGACATTGTTGGAAGTGCATATTATGTAGCACCAGAAGTTCTGCACAGATCATATGGTATAGAGGCTGATGTGTGGAGTATAGGCGTAATATCATATATTCTTCTGTGCGGTAGTCGTCCTTTTTGGGCTCGCACAGAGTCTGGAATCTTCAGGGCTGTTTTAAAGGCTGATCCAACTTATGATGAAGCACCTTGGCCTACGTTAACTTCAGAGGCTAAAGATTTTGTCAAGCGACTATTGAATAAAGATCCTAGAAAAAGAATGAGTGCTGCTCAAGCATTATGTGAGTGTTTTCTCCTCTGAATTTTCTTGGCATCCTTTTTCTTTATATTGCCTCTTCTCATGACTCCCTTGTTCAGGTCATCCTTGGATGCGTAATCATAGTGGTGCAAAACTACCTCTTGATATTCTTATTTTTCGACTCATGAAGGCATATATGCGGTCATCCTCTTTGCGTAAGGCTGCTTTAAGGGTGTGTATATTATTTAGCTGGAACTATTGATATAACCTGATATATATCTCTCTGCCCTTGATAGTGCTATATCTTTTGGTTTTAGGTTTGAAATTGTTTATAAGGTTCTTAAGTTACCTTTGCCTTTTATCGTTGGTGAAAACTACCACTTGGTATTCTCATATTTCGTCTCGTGAAAGCATATCAATCATCCTTTTTGTGTAAGACTGCTTTAAGTGTGTATATTATTTAGCTGGAACTATCAATATTACCTGTTATATCTGTCTCTGCCCTGATAGCCGAACTACTTACGGTCACCTATATCTTTTGGTTTTAGGTCTGAAGTAGCTAATAAGATTTTCAAGTTACCTTTGCCTGTTGTCTTTGGTAAAGGTTTCTGTATACTTTTTCGATAAGTAATTAGGTGTCGTACTAAAGATGGATAATAAGAACTAACCTAGTGCTGGAAAACATGGTGATCCCCTATCATATCTAACTAGGAATCAGTATCATATGGGTACATATCATATGCAAATCCATATGATACCGATTCTTTCTCATATGGGTTCATAAAGCTGTACGTTTTATTTAGCATCTAGCAGCTTTGATTCTTAATAGTCTTGGTAGCATTTGACTTGTTAAATTGCACCTAATACTTTTCCCTTTGATAGGCGTTGTCGAAAACTTTGACAACAGATGAACTGTTCTATCTAAAAGAACAATTTGCATTGATGGAGCCAGACAAAAATGGCAACATAAAGCTAGAAAATATAAGATCAGTTAGTATCTTGACTCTCTCATCTTAGCTATTCTGTGCTGTTTGCTCAAAGCCTAAAGGTCTTATCTTCTTACTCCTTATCTAAAAGGTGTTATCTCCTTGCTTTTTTTGTAACGTATAGGCACTAATGAAACATGGAACAGATGCTATGAAGGAGTCTCGGATTCCAGATTTTCTTGCCTCGGTATTGACATAACCACCATTTGTGTGTTTCCCTGCTTCTTCTATGGTTCTAGATTATGAATGGTGGTTTCTGATGTTGTCTTTGACAGCTAAATGCACTTCAATATAGAAAGATGGATTTTGAAGAATTCTGCGCAGCCGCCTTAAGCGTTCATCAGCTGGAGGCTCTCGAGCGCTGGGAGCAACATGCTAGGTGTGCATATGAAATCTTTGATAAGGATGGCAATAGGGCTATTGTTATCGAAGAACTTGCATCTGTAAGTTTTCGTTTGTTTGTTACAAATGCCATGTTATTGCTCTCATGTTAGTGTTGTATCTCTGTCAGTTAGACTTTTTGAGAATACAGGATATTGTATGTTTCATTATACGTTTAATGCCTAATATTATGATCAAATCTCGCTTTCAGGAACTTGGACTGGGTCCTTCAATACCAGTTCATGCTGTCCTCAATGACTGGATAAGGCATACAGATGGAAAGCTAAGTTTTCTTGGTTTTGTGAAATTGTTGCATGGTCCTTCCACCCGAGGACTTGCAAAGGTGCAGTAACATTTAGACCGCTTTCAAGAGTGCCCGAAATACCAGAGTCTAGACATTGTGGCTGAGATAATCTTCAAGCATTTGAACGTTACAGATATCAGCCACGTTGCACTGAAACGCCAAAATTCCTACCTGCTCTGAATTCAATTTGCTGGAGTATGTTTGATTCGCGGATTTCACTCTCAGCACGCATCTGATTGCTTTTACTTCCACACCATGTTGTGTAAAGATCTCTGATGTTGTGCGGGGTAAACATTGGACTTGCAGTTGTTTGTTACTAAGGGGAATGGTCCTGGTTGCAACTCCTGCCAACAGGGATTAACAAGATGTAGTTACTAGTTTGCCACTTAAATTTGGATTGTGGTGTCAGTATAGATTATAGGGGGCCTTAGTTGATTCAGTGCTGGAATTGATTGATTTATATTTATTGTTCAAATTCAAATTTGAGTCCAGGCTAAAAATTGCCTTGGAGTTGATTTGTATCTTCTTTCCTAGCAGATAAAGGTACTTTACCTTACTATTTGGAAACCAAATGACTAAAATAATACACATTCCACAATCAATGGGAATGAGTCCATATTGACATGATATTTCACCTGCTCCGCTTCGACTGAGTATACCAATTAGTATTGACGAGTGTTTGTACCAGTGTTGATTGCTGGCTTAAACCTGGTCTAAGAGTATATGTTATTTTATGTTTGCTTCAAGGATCAAAGATTTTAGATTTTTCTTGTGTTCTTACCTACTTCAAATTCACACTGAATGGATTTTTTTTTTAGAATCTTGCTATTATAACAAAACATGTGATAAAAGATAACTTAGGAATCACTTTATTCCTTACTGAATAAATGAGAATATTGTTGATCAAATAACATTTAATTAATCCTTTTTATTAAGAAAATAACAATGACAATTACTATTACTGATGACGATGTTGAGAAACTCTGAGTTGTAGATATACTAGTAGCTAAGGAAGGAGAGAACTGAGAATACAAGAAACAAAACAAGATAGCAACAAGTAGCTTTTTGATAATCTATAATATATTGACATATACTAATTTCTAAAAAAAAACTCTCCAAATAATTGCTACAACTTCAAAAATAAATAAATTATGTAGTAGTTACCATAAGGAGCCTATAGCCTTATACTATAATAAATTATCTCTAGTTTTAGGTTTAGTCATATGCTGAATTCCTTAATTTGCAGGGCCATTTTTTTTGTAACTGGTATTACATGTTATCACAGTCGCCGTAACTCCGGTTGTAGCATTTTCCGATATGCTACTTGTTAAACCCTACCGGAGAGCCCTCCATAGCTCAACTCGGCAAGTTCAATCCAAAACCCTAGACTCACCACCTTCTTCCTCCAGCACCCTTTTTGTCGACAGGGCTGTATCCATTCTTAAAGGCTACGACCCAATTTCCTTGGACTCCATTTCTTCCCAATTCACCCCTCAATATGCTTCTTCCTTGCTTTTCCAATGCCGATTCGATAAACCCCTTGTTCTAAAATTCATCAACTGGGCGCGCAACCGCCAATTCTTTAATCTTCAATGCAAGTGCATTTCCATTCATATCCTCACTCGTTTCAAGCTCTACAAGACTGCCCAATCCCTTGCGGAGGATGTTGCTTTGAAATTCGGAGATAACAAGGGTGAATTGGTCTTTTCATGTCTCAGGGACACTTACCATTCTTGCAAGTCCAGCTCTGCTGTGTTCGATTTGATGGTAAAATCCTACTCTCATTTGAAAATGATTGACAGAGCTATGCATATCTTTGAATTAGCCAAGTTTAATGGGTTTATGCTCACTGTTTTGTCCTATAATTCCATTCTTGATGCGTTGATCAGGGTTTCACGTAATGGGTCTTTCGAATTAGCTCAAAAGTTTTATGATGATATGGTTCAATCTGGGGTTTCACCTAATGTATATACTTATAATATTATGATCCGAGGCCTTTGTGCAAAAGGGGATCTGCAAAAGGGTTTGGTTGTTTTCAATGAAATGGAAAAAACTGGCTGCTTGCGAAATGTTGTAACCTATAACACCATAATAGGTGGTTATTGTAAGATAGGTAAGGTTGATGAGGCAGTCGAATTGTTGAAGCTAATGCAAGTGAGGAACTTGGAACCAAGTGTGGTCACATATAATGCTATTATTAATGGGTTGTGTCGAGAAGGAAGAATGAAAGAGACGAGTGAGATTTTGGAAGAGATGAGGGGAAAGGGATTAATGCCTGATGAAGTAACCTATAACACACTGGTAAATGGCTATTGTAGAGAGGGTAACTTTCACCAAGCACTTGTTTTGCACTCGGAAATGTTAAGGAATGGGCTGTCTCCAGATGTTGTGACTTATACTTCTTTGATTAATAGCATGTGCAAGACTGGGAATTTGCACCGTGCAATGGAATTCTTTGATCAACTGCATGCTAGGGGATTATATCCCAACGATAGAACTTACACAACATTGATTGTTGGTTTTTCTCAGCAGGGTCTTATGAATGAGGCTTATAAGCTTTTGAATGAAATGATTTCAAATGGCCTTTCCCCTTCAATTGTAACTTACAATGCGTTAATTAATGGGCATTGTGCAGTGGGCAGGATGGAGGATGCTTTACGCGTGACTCAAGAGATGGAACAGAGAAGGCTGGTCCCAGATGTTGTAACTTATAGTACAATAATATCTGGGTTCTGTAGAAACTGTGGGTTGGAAAGAGCATTCTGTGTTAAGCAGCTGATGGTTGAAAAAGGGGTCTTACCTGATGTTATTACTTATTCATCCCTAATTCAAGGTCTTTGTGAGCAGCAAAGACTGACTGAAGCTTGTGAACTTTTCCAAGAGATGTTGAGAGTAGGTCTGCAACCAGATAAGTTTACATATACTACACTTATTGGTGCATACTGTGCAAATGGGGATATTAAAGGTGCTTTTCACCTGCATAACAAAATGATCTCTAAGGGTTTCTTTCCTGATGTCGTCACTTACAATGTCCTAATCAATGGGCTTAACAAACAAGCTCGCACTAGGGAAGCAAAGCGGCTTCTGTTCAAGTTGTTGTATGAGCAATCAGTGCCAAATAGTGTCACTTATGACATGCTAATAGAAAGTTGCAAAGATCTTGAATTGAAGAGTGCGGTAGATCTTATTAAAGGATTCTGCATGAAAGGTTTGTTGAATGAAGCTGACCAAGTTTTTGAGTTGATGCTGCAAAAACACAAGAAGCCGAGTGAAGTAGCTTATAATCTACTTATACACGGTCATTCCAGGGGTGGGAATTTGCATAGAGCCTTGAATCTTTTCAGAGAAATGGCTAATCTTGGATTTATTCCTCATACAGTAAGTATTATTGTGCTCATGAAAGAACTTTTTAAAGAAGGAATGAGTGAGGAATTACATCAAGTAATTCAAAGCACATTGGAAACCTGTAAACTTGCTGATGGTGAGCTAGCAAAAGTCATTGTTGAGGTGAACTACAAGGAAGGGAACATGGATGCAGTATTCAATGCACTTACTGAAATGGCCAAGGATGGCCTTCTTCCAAATAGTGGGAAAACCGCATTTTGTCACATGCCAGAATAAAGTACTTATCATCTTAAAATAATCACACCAACTTTTCCCATGCATGAGGTAGAATGCATCAAGCAAGCAGGAAACTGGGTTGCAACAAATTGTTTCCCCTCATTTAGGTTTCTCATGCCATTGTGAATGTGGGAGAGCTGGTTTACTCCGATGAGCGACATTCTTTCGAGAGGGTTAAATTCCCACTTTGCTTGAAAATTGTAGAAGGTCAGATTTTAAACTCCTTTTATCTCTGGACTTGGTACATACCTCAATTTTTGTCAATATCCTGCACATTGAACTTACATATAAATAGGATTTTTATACTTTCTTTAGGAAGTTTAATTTTATCTAGTCTTAGGTTCAGATGTTTGAAAATTTCAATGTATGGACATTAGCTGCATTTTATTTTTTTTTGGGTTTTCCTCTTCTGAAATGGCATCATCATGCTAAATTAGGATTTCCTCTTCGGAAATGGCATTATCATGCTAAGTGTTAACTCCCAGCATCTATGTCATATATTCCATCGATACATCGCCTTCTCCCATTGCTGATTTACTGGCCTTGCCAATGTGATGCCTCATGTTCCTATTGTCTATCTCTATTACATCTGCTATATTTTAGTGGTAGGTCAGTTTCATATACCAGCAACGCATTCACAAGAACAAATAATTTTTGAATTCGTGTCAGCTATATAAGTAGGGTGCTAACTTGAAAAGGTGAAACAAGACGAAGAGAAGGAAGTGAGTTTCATTCAAGAAAGTGTGAAAACTCCAGGTATGATGTCTTTTACTAGTACATTTTGTTCACATAGTAAAACTACATTAGACAATAACATGATTGTAGATTAAAGAGCAATTGACGTAATTCTTAAGCAAAACAATGCTGTTATAATTCAACTCTTTCTGCCAGTAATTTGATACATGTTTTCCATTGTGAAATCTTCATTCCGTGCAGCTTAAGGAGCTTTTCTGTTCAAGAACATTGTATGTACTATTGATGAAGTCTGTTAATGGATGGCCATGGCTGTTTCGAGAGTAGGATTTGATTTACAGTGTCTTGCTTTCAGATCAGCTATCACTTAGTCTCTGTACTTCTGGACTAACTTTTTCCATTCTAATACCAAATGTAATAATCCTAGTTGCTACTTCTGGACTAACTTTTTCCATTCTAATACCAAATGTAATAATCCAAGTCTAGCAGCTGACTTCAGAACTTTCTGATTTTGTAACTTTTATCAAAAGAACTTGAAGATCAAAGTCTATCAGCCCAGAATTGCCAGTTAGAGGTAGAAGGCGTGTTCCATTTTAATAAAAACTCTGGTTGCATAAACTAGTACTGGCTTAAATATATCTTTTGACCAGTTAAACACTCCATCCATATTTCTCATACATTGACGTGCAATGTGGTTTTACTAAAATGGTATACAAAAATAATCGAGAACATAAGATCAGAAAAGACCAAGAACACTGCCCCAGGTCTTCTCACTTTCTATAAACTGCTAACATATTATGCATCTCAAGAAATTGTGGTGCATTTGTGTTAAGTAGGCTTCTCACAGGAAGCGACAGGGTGTTTTCATATTTCCCCACAAATGACTGTTTGCAAGTTCATCGAGAAGTTACATTTGATTGATTTGCTTCCTATGGTTCTAACGACACAAGTAGACCAACTGTTCCCTTGCTACCAGTTGACATCTCGTCTTACTGAGTACGATATTGATTGTCAGGAGCATCTGTTCCGTGTGCATCATAGCTAGTTTCTAAGTGTTGTTATTCAGTTCAGTGTTTCCTCTAGATTGGGCATGAAGGAAAATTCTCTGATTTTCATGAATAATCGCTTTGTGCAGATAATACAAGATGTTGAGGCAATATCTCTTGCAACAAATGAACATCCAGTAGCACTGCTTGCAGAACACACAAAAAAATTCTTGCAAAGAGAGAATACTATTTACATGCGTATCTTATCTCAAAGGCCAAATGCTGCTGCTGTTTCTGCATCCATACTTCACAAGCTTTATGGCATCAAATTGGTAAGTAATGATTAATCTATCTCCCGGAGTTCTAGTGCAAGGGGAAACAGATGTAAAAATTGGTAAGTAAGAGAAACAGATGCAAATAAATTGAATGTAGTCATTCTTTTGCTGGATCTGCTCTCAGTAGTGTATTCTGAGGGCCTTGGATTTTTCAAATCTGACTCCACAATTGCAGGCAATTACTGCATTAAATCGTTGTTATTTGGCAACTCGTTTATTTGCTCACTCTTATATATTCAAATTGTCATCTTGAAACTATTTAACACTCCCTTGCCTTCAGATTCATTGCTTAACAAGCTTTGACCACTAGACTAAATGCATTAAATAATGAGGATTCACCAAATCCAGCTTTCACCCCACCCCTTTTTCTTTTGATAGAGAGTCAAATACTTCTCTCATTGGAGTTATAGTGTAAATAGCTGAGAAATTACAGTAATCAAAGTTGATGAGCTGTCATAAGGGGAATGTTGTACTCTACATATATCTTGTGATCTGTCACCTCACTCAGTCATTTTAGATTTTGAGAGCAAAGCGAATTAGGTTAGCAGCGGCACATTCAACCTGATTCGAACTGGAATCATTCAGAACCAGATTTTATGGGTAAAAAGGGGCCATGTTTCCATTGTGGCGTCAAACGTAAGTTCTCCTCTTGATTAATATTTTCTCCTGAAGTTCTCCACATAATATCTCACAATTAAGGTTTTATAACTCTTTTAGATATTTGAACTATTATTAGCCGAATCCCTCCACCTGTATCAATACTTGGATCTGTATCCATGAATCTTAAAATTTAGAGCATGAAGGATCCAAACTTTAGATTCGCACCTGTACTGACACATATACAACAACATACCAAGTGTAATCCCATGAGTGGGGTGTAGGGAGAGTAGGATATACACAGACCTTACCATATTTTTGTGGGGTAGAAAGTCAGTTTTTGATAGACCCTCGGCTTTAAAGAGTATTTGAAGAAGGGTTGCAAGAAAATGACAAGATATGAAGTAAATAAACCATCAAATGGTAATACACACCGGAGAATGGTGGGTGGTCCGCCAGTGGGTGGGTGGGGGATTATTTTACCGTTAAGCACTAGAGAAAGAGATAGTCCCTGTTGAATAGTGTACAGTTAATCACTGTTGGCTTAGATGGTAACTTTCCTCCTTAAAATATCATGCAAATAAATGCAGTCTGCCAAGAGGCTAAATGTTCTGCATGGTACCTTGAAGTATCAAGCAAATCCTTTTCAATCTTTCCACCATAAAGCTCAAAGTTCAACTACTTTGTATGGTTCCTTAACATGGTGATGAAAATGTGAGTTCACATTCTAAAAGTTTATGCATGTTTCACAGAAATATTTCCTTTTGTTTTGCCGAAGAAATCCCCCCCTATACATACTCTAGTTTCGTGATGCTTCCATTCTCGTGAAATGCATTCTATACCTTTTTACAAGAAATCTCAATTCAGTGATCACTGTGCTTTAGTTTCTGAGATAAGTTTCTGCCTGTAAGAATGTTTTCTTATATTGTCCCAGTTTATACACTAATTAATTGTGAACTCAAACAGAAACTATTCTTTGGAGAAATGGGCCACCTGAAAAACCAGTGCTCTGCAATGCATGTGGATCAAGATGGCGGGTTAGGAGGACACTAGATGGCTATATTCCCAGACATGGAAACATAGAAATAGAGAGCTATCAGCGACCTTCTGACATGAAGCCGGCTCGTGATGAAAAAAAGCTAGGAGGTGGAATAGAGGTTTCTGGACAGGATGGCTTGAAAGCTTGTCTTGAAGAGGAAATGAATAACATATCAAGCTTAGGTTCAGCAGGGTCATCCTCAGACAACTGCATGCAGATGGAAGAAACAAATGGTAAAATAATTTCACTCATATATAGAGCACTTGACTTGTCGCAGCAAATATGATGCACGTTCTGAATCAAATCCTTTCTTAAGCACTAGGGTCATAAAAAGTGGAGAACTAATGTCTTCCTATTTCTTTCCTCTGCTTTGCATGATAGTAAGCCCAAAACTGTTAATCTCAAAGAAATTTATGAGATAGATGAAATTAGACAACCAAATCATTGTAGATGCACCTTCCCGAAAAGTAATCCTGCAGTGCATAGTCTTCTGATTCAAAAGAAAAGGAAGAAACAGTTCACCCAATATTATTGTTGCTTCCAATTAAGAACTTCTCTTATTCTATTGATTTTTAAATGGATAAATTTGCTCACCCCCCACCCCACAAAAAGAGCTCTAAGACAACTTGATAAGCATGCATCAAGATTCACGACACTCGGATTTATTTTTACGCAGGAAATTCTTTTTGTTTCCCGATTATTGCGATGTGATTGTCAAATCACATTCATGGTTTTACCAAAAAAAGGCGCAGGGAATCAAATGACTATATAATACTCTATAGACAAAATATTGGGTTTCTTTCTTGTTCATAGATCATTAATTATAGTGTCTCCCCTAAGCTTCAAAAACTTACTTTCCTTTACACAATGAACTGACATCGACAAATTACAGGTAATTTGGATTTTCAATAAAGATATGAACTGATCAGTCCAACTATACTTTAACCATACAAATAATAAAAGCTTTACCCCAAAGTAAAAAGATCTATTATATTAATACATTATTGTTTTATTTGCACTAACATTCACCTTTGTTTGGAGAAGCATACAAAGATCCTCTCTGGAATCCTGACAGTGTCCCAAGAAGAAAGAGATCAGAGCGTAGAAAACGCAATTTGTCACCTGTTGAAAGACTCCAGAGGCAACTTCATAACATTCTACAGGAGCCAGACTTTGAAAATATCTCTGCCGATGATGAAAATATTCTAATTTATGCAAGGAACAAATACATTCCACCTAATGAGATTGGTCTTGGAGCTAAGCTGCTTGTATCACCACCTACTGCTACAGAACACTTGACATCTCTGTCTCCAATGGCAGAAGATACTGATGCCTCTTGCTCAGTGAATGTTCCTGTAGGAAATTCCAATTCCAATTTGTAAGTGAACTTTGAGATGCATGCACAAGGTTCAAGATGGTATGTGAGCCAACTCTTACTATCTAGCTAGTACAATGTTTGTTAAAACCATTTGAGCTGTTCCAACCTTACTAGATGTCCCCAACGGCAACGCTCAACAACTTGTGTGTTTTGAGACCATATAGTTTGCCAATAGTGCATTTATTTTGGAGATTTATAATTCTGCTGTTTTATTGGATGGGATTTCAATGAATTAGATATGTCTATTCTGCTTTTTGGGTGCATTTAATATGTCAATTCCGATGCTGGTCATAGTGTGCTTGCCTACAAGTTTGTTAGTGTAAATAAATGAATTTTGGGCCTAAATCAACCCCATGGGCTAGCTTATGAGGGTAGGATTGCTCAAGTCCATATAAGGAATTCATAATTCCCTCATCGCACTTATGTGGGACTTAACACCCTGCCTCACGCCCAAGACTGGACATCTAGTCTGTGGATTATTTAATATGGGGCGCCCAACATCGGTAAATATAAATTGGGATGAGTTTGACTCTGACACCATGTAAAGAAATCAATTTTAGGCCTAACTCTACCCCAAAAGTTAGCTTATGATAGGAGGATTGCCCAAGTCCATATTAGGAGTCCATAATTTCCTCATCCCATGATGTGGGACTTAAAAAACCCAATATCCATTATTTACCGTTTGTTTGCATGGACTCCACATTACATGGATACTACATCAAGGGTATGTTGTTAAATTGTTCTCTAAAATGCTTCTGCAATTGCATCTTCCATATTCAGAGATGGGTGTCTGATTATTAAAGATATACCAGGTATATCAGCTTTAGGATAAGGTATGTTTCAGCCACAAAAAGTTTGAAAACTAAGTTCACCAAAAAGTCTCTTCGATCTCCTTTTAAGTTATAACGATAAGTCAAATAATATTTACACTAAAGAGAAGCTAGAGAGCCATTAATACATAATCCAGGAGCAATTAAGAGTCAGAATAATTTAGTATTAAGTTTCATAAATGCCCCCAAGTAGCAACATAAATCTAGAGGGTAGATATGGTGTTCACCCGAACCCCCTCAGCAAAAAAGTACATGTTATATAAAGTTATTTTCAAATTTTGTATGTATATATATATATATATATATATATATATATATATATATTCTGAACCTCTTGAACATGAGATTAGAGGTTGATTAAGTGGTTGAGGAGGTTCAAAATTCACCTTGAGGTTTCAAGTTTAAATCTCAAGCACTACATTTATATTTTTCGAACCCCTTAGTGAAAATCCTTGATCTGCCACTTTACCCAATATAACTCTTCAAGAACTTTATATTACTTGATTGACTTTTAAGTAATACGAAGTAGTTTAATAAAAGCAACAAGCATTGTAGAAACCGGAAAAATGTAATCACTACCATAAAACTTCTTAGAAGGCCAGGAAATACAAAAACAGTATAAAGGAGCGAAGAGAGTAAAATATATTACTCCCTCCGTCCCATTTTATGTGTCAACATTTGACTGGGCACGGAGTTTAAGAAATAAATGAAGATTTTGAAATGTTTACCAAATTGCCCTTTAAAAAGTAGACTCACTTTTCTCTCTCATAAATGTTTTGGAGTATTATTTTAAGATTAAGTGGGACCAACAAGGGTAAAAGAGGAATTGTACCTTTAAATACTTACCATATTAGGAAATGTGACATTCTTTTTGGGACTGACCAAAAAGGAAATGGTGCCACATAAAATGGGATGGAGGGAGTACTACTTAGAAAAGGAAAATAGGACATGGGAAGAAATGAGAACGTTAAATCTCTGTCATTCTTTTACACAGTGGCAGAGCAGTGTAAATGATAATAGCTGAAAAAGGAAACAATAGGAGTGATTCATGGGACTGGATAAGCAACTTAGGCTCCGGAGGATCATACAACTAAAAAAGGCTACTTTTGGGTTTGTTAAAGAATAGATTTTGGGCCTAACTCAACCCCAAAGCCCAGCTCATAGGGTGAGGATTGTCCAAAACCATATAAGGAGACCAATTACCCACCCCATATCCCATGTGGAACTCTTAAAAGGGCCGTACCTTCGTATTCTTAGTTTCTTTTGAAACGTAGAATGCTTAATCTACAAAGTTAATTATTTTGCCAAAAAAGGAAGTAGTATTGGCGGGAGATATAATTTTATGCCAAAAATATTCTATAGACAAAATCTGGAATCAATCACTATATAATACTCTTATAGACTAAATATTGGGTTTCTTTCTTGCTCATAGATCATTAATTATAGTGTCTCCCCTAAGCTTCAAAAACTTACTTTCCTTTACACAATGAATTGACATCAATTCGATAAAGATATGAACTGATCAGTCCAACTATACTTTAACCATACAAATAATAAAAGCTTTACAACAAAGTAAAAAGATCTATTGTTTTAATACCTTATTGTTTTATGTACACTAACATTCACCTTTTGTTAGGAGAAGCAGACAAATATCCTCTCTGGAATCCTGAGAGTGTCCCAAGAAGAAAGAGATCAGAGAGTAGAAAACACATTTTATCACCTGTTGAAAGACTCCAGAGGCAACTTCATACTAATCTACAGGAGCCAGACTTGAAAAGCTCTCTGCCGATGATGAAAATATTCTAATTTATGCAAGGAACAAATATATTCCTCCTAATGAGATTGTTCATGGAGCTATGCTGCTCATATCACCACCTACTACTACAGAACACTCGATGTCTCTATCTCCAATGGCAGTTGCTGGAAGTGAGTTTTGAGAAGCATGCATAAGGTTCAAGCTGGTAACTCTTTTATCTAGCTAGTGCAATGTTCGTTAAAACAATTTGAGCTATTCCAACTTTACCGGATGTCCCTAATGGCAACGACAACACCTTGTATGTTTTGAGACCATCTAGTTTGCTAATTCTACATTTATTTTGGAGATTTATATTTCTTTTGTTTTATTGGATGGGATTTCAATGAATTAGATACGTCTATTCTGCTAATTCTACATTTTAGAGGGTAGCGAAGGGGGTCACCTGAACCTGACCCCCTTGGCAAAAAGTTACACGGTATATATAAGGTACTTTTAAAATTTTGTATGTATATATATAGATTTTGAACCTCTTGAAATTATGGTTAAATAAAACGGAAGAATTATAAAGAAATGCACAACTGGCAATCTCGATGGTCTCAAAACACGCAAGTTATTGTGCATTGCCGTTGGGGACATCCGGTAAAGTTGGAACAACCCAAATTGTTTTTTATCAACATTGCACTAGCTAAATAATAAGAGTTGGTTTCCCATACCAGCTTGAATGTTATGCATGCATCTCAAAATTCACTGACATATTGGAATTTTCTATAGGAACTTTCACTGAGCGAGAGGCATTTTCTTCACAGATGTACTGCTGATGGTCCTGAGCATGCAAGTTATCGTATCTACTTGTGCTGATGGAGCATCAGATACTTATTGCAGAAAGTTAAATTTGTTCAAGGTTAGGAAACTCTTCCTGGGCTTCTTTCTTTATTTTTATATTATATTGCGGTAACTTAGGTTGATGACTTTGCAAAATTTATATGGGGCAGTTCTAAGGGAAAGATTTTTTAGTCAGTAAATTAAGCTTTATTGGATTTATTGTCTTCTGACTTGGGCATTCTAAATGCTCAGAACATTTTTATTGGTCCGTGGCGGGATGGTTTTTCTGATAAAGTTGTCATGTATTATGCTCAATATTTTCTCGTAATGAATTTGGGAACTTTCTTAGCCTTTTCTTGTTTTAATTATAGAATGAAACTGGGTGTGTTGTTGTATTGAAACTGCGTCTGGGACATTGGTACTATCATGGGTCACCACTTGCAAAATTGGGTTTACCAGGTTATTCAGCAAGCGTTAATAACTTAGGGAGTTGCTAAATCTATTGATTGTAGTTCTTTGAATAATTATATCATATATTAGCTTTGCCTTAGTCATTAACTCATTATACATCCTTTTTCTCAATAGATTTTTGTCATATTTTTCTTCCAATCTTTGCTTTGGAAACATTTCTTTTGAGCCGAGGGTCTATTGGAAACAACCTTTGTACCCACAAAGGTTGGGGTAAGGTATGCATACCCTCTCCAAATCCTACCTGTGGTATTACACTGGGTAGGTTGTTGATACATATTTGTGGGATGGTTAAGGACATGGATACTTTAAACAGATTGTCACATGTTAAAGGCTTGGAACACTAACCATGCGCATACGGCATTTTTCATTTGCTTCATGCATGACGAAGATGACGATTCTTGAAGTCTTGGTCATGATGTAAAATGGGTATCCTTCAAATTTCTGTGGTCATTGGTCATGAAGTTTCTTATATAAGCTGGTGAGTATTGCTTCTGGAGTATGATGTACCTAATGTTGGTGCTCAGTGTCAAGCTTGTGAAGCTGAGCATTTTAGTACAAGCTAGATCAGACACATCAGTTGCATTTTCACAGTGGTGTGGCAAGGCTGTACCTGATTGCTTCATAGAGTGCAAAATAGGTATCCACAGTATATGAAGTTTTCAGTTGAATCTGAGAGTTTAATTACCTGAAATAAGAACTAACGCTATTATATAAAGGATCTTTCCTTGCTTATCCAGCTGGACGTTGATTATCTTATTAAACAACTGCGCTCTCTTCTGTTCTTCAGGAAGCTCTGAAGCTACTTGGATGAGGCATATGTTCTTGAAGATCATGTTCACGACCACTTAAGCAGCTCAGGAGCACCTGTTCTTTGGAAAATCTAGTTGGGGTTAATTATTTGCTTTAACGAAGCTCTATTTTATTACTAGGCTTCTACTTCCAGGGCAAATCATCTGACGAAGTTGGCCGTTAAACTCTGTTTTATATTGAACTGATAGCTTAACCTATACAAAAACCCTCTTGCAAGGAAAAAGAAAAGCTGAATAAATGTTGTTTTGGTTATATTGTGTTTTTTTCCCAGGAGATGCTAATATATAAGATATGAGATCATTCTATTGTATTCAAATTATAATTTGTAGTGTGAGATCATTTCCTTGGAATTTTAGAAAAATATTGCAACATGCAATGAAAGAGACTTTACAATTGGCACTGGTTGATCGTTTAATTTTTGTAAGCAAGATGTCCCGTAATGCTTTGAGTTTTAGCTGAGAAATCCACCATTTCCATTGGCCTTGTTTGCATTTTTTGGGTTCGATTTTGAAAAACTATAATCAGTTTCTTGATTCAGATGCCACCAAACGAGTTTGTCTTTCTTTGTTACAACACTCGGAGTCCGTTCCTAACAAAATGACAACGAAATATCAAACGGGTTTCCTTTTCGTCATTCTTTTATAACCATTAATCTTCGTCACCGTAACATTTTTTAAACAAATTTTGGACAGTCTATGAGTTCAGTACACTTGGAAGTATTCTGACAGCAAAATATCTTGTACTAAAAATGAGCAGGTCGCAAGTGAGTATTTTAAGCTGTGATTTCACACGAAAAATACTCATAGTTTCACGTCTTTATCTGAATCTTGAAGCATGGAAGCATAAAGTTCTCCAATGTACAATACAAAATTTCCACAAAACTGAATTTACTTCCTTTCCCTTCCAAAGGGAAAACAAAAGGAAATGGAATCAAAAGTTACAAGAATTAGTACAGCAGATTGCAGAACTTGTTTATTTTTTACTTGGGTGAGGAGTTTAAAATTTTACACTAACATCAAGCTTTAGATTTTGCAACTCAAACTTAATTGAAGGCTTCATTTCTTTTTCTGTCCCCCTTACCTTCAAAAAGAAACTCCTACTTTGTCAAATGTTGCAGTAAATCAATAGCATTGAACCATGGAATTATTTACAACTAGTGGGTGTCAAAACAACATAAAAGCTCCATTGCACTAAATTTCCTGATTTCAGTGTCTATTGATGTCTGGACTTGCCTAAGAGCAGCTTCTCATCCATTTAAAGATTTTAAGGATGACTGATGTCTCCTTTCAGGAGAATTGTCTCATTATCACTTAAAAAGGGGAAAAAAGAAGACGAAAACTACTCCAGATTTCATAAAATGACGAATCAATGTATGATTTTATCTCTCAATCCTATGTATGATCGACGACTCGGGATGCTCAGGAAAATACAAAAATATAGATAGCTAAAAGGTCATGATAGGCAGAATAAGGCGAAAATGAGTAGCTTAACAAAGACAGATGATAGGCCAAGCAGCGGATGCATATATATGTGCTCATCAATCAGAGACAAGTAAATCTTTCTATTTCTTTCAGATAGCAGAGTTAGAAAGCAGTAGAATTATTTCACACTGGAAGCAATCTATTGTGAATGTTAAGGTACTTTTAAGGTTACTAACTAGACTACAGGCAATACTCAGTACATTGCTATTCATTGTCAAAGAGCAATATTAGCTAGCACGAACCAAAAACTAGAATTAACAAGTAAAATTATCCTTACATCAAAGCAAGCATCCTTCTGCAAACTTCTCTCATCTTGAAGAGAGCCGTTGATATATATCATCAGCCAAGGCCTGCCTCGCACTTCCACCATAATAATAGAAAGACTTCTCATTCTCTAACACCCTTGGAGGGGAACCATTCTCTTCTGGCTCCCTCCAAAGCTCTGGCTCTGGCTCCCTCGCAATCTGACACAAGTTGTGCAATACACAGCAAGCAACAACAGTTTGGGGTGCATGACTTAGTCCCACATTCAAATTCTGAAGAATTTTCCACCTTCCTTTCAACAAACCTATAGCTTCCTCAACCATCTTCCTCCCCTTCAACAAGGCTTCATCATAGGCATTCTCAGCAGGTGAGCCAGTTCTATTCCCAGAAAATGGAGTCAGCAAAAACGACAACAAAGGAAAACACCAATCCCCAACAATGTATGGCCTCACATGTTCTCCTCTAACATTAACCCCTTTGTCCCAAACAATATCACCAGAAATCAACCTATTATACAACAGACTATCTCTAAAATGCGTAGCATCATCAAATCCACCTGGGGCTTTCACACAAACATCCCAAAAGAGCTTCTTGTGATCAGCAACAACCTGAAGCAATATGGATGGGAACCCATATCGGCTATAGTACATAGACGAGTTTACGGTTTCCGACGGAAGATGCTGCAACCTCACGGCCGTTCCATCAATAGCTCCACATATATTGGGGAGTGAAGTCAGTTCTTGAAACCCCTGAGTGGTCTCCACAAGACGCCGTCGACTCACCGGAATCTTGATAAACTCCGGGTAAAGCTTAGTAGCCAAGAGGCGGGTGACCATGTTAGTAATTTTAGAGATCAGGTAAGGTTCAAGACCATAACGGGTAGCTAGGGTTTTAGCAGAAAAGCCGTGGAAGAGTCTAGAAAGTACCATAGCAACGGCGTAATCAGAAGGTAGAGAGAGTTGGGACTGGGTAATGTAGGGTTTCAGCTTATCAACAACGGTGGTGAAAACGGGATACGATAGTCCGTAAAGGGAACGCCACTGAGCGTCACGGAGAGGAGCTTCCATAGCCCAAATATGTTCAGTGGAGAGGGCACGAAAAGCGGAGACGGAGAATTCGGCGGCTGCGGGCGATGGTGAAGAGGGGTTATTGTTAGGTGAAGAAGTGGAAGTTTTGGGTTTTTTCTTGTGTGGGTGGGTAGCGAGATAGGAGAGAACGGATGCGATGGTGAAGAAGAGGAGAGGTGCGGCGGATGTGGAGGTGAGGAGGGAAGTAGGGGAGGTGGGTGAAGCAACGGAGGAAGAGTAGGATGATGTGGAATCGGAGAGAAGAGAGGTGGTGGGGTCAAGGTGGTTGTGGAGGTGAAGAAGATTTGTTAGCATCAGCAGAAAAGATTGATCCATTGTTTACCGGTAAGGAAGTTGAAGGTCGACTTTGCCGGAGACGACCGACAGGGTTTTGCAGCCACCGGCGGCAATGTCAATCAAGCCAATTCATATTTGACGACGAGTAGGAGAGGGGGTGGGGTGGAAGAACTATCAGCAGAAGAGCAAATAAGTCCATGTAGTTTCGCAAATGTTGCAAACAAGCCCATACTCTTTAGTGCACTGCAAAATTTAAACCGAATAGTGATTACAGATTTGCAAAAAAAATAAAAAAATTCATCATTAATATTAAGTGACAAATTAACTATAAAATGTCTATTTTATCCTTAATGAAATGATTTATTGTCACACAAATTTTTATGATCATTTTGTACCACAAGTTTTAATTTTTTTTTTCTTTATTAAATTTTGTGTTGAATTAAACTAATTCACGCTAGATGGAGGAAGTAATATTTTGTATCATTAGTTTTATTAGTTTAACTATATACTAAGCACAGAATCTCTCTTTTCTTAAGCACTAACTAAACAAACAAATATCTCAAAGCGGATCGGGCGGGCCCAAACCCGAGGTCTTCTTTTATTTTATTTTTTGTTCCTCAATTTAATTCTACTTCTTTGATTCAAAATTAGGGTTCAGAAGAAAAGGCCGTTGATTTTGAATAGGAAACAAATTTGAGCTTGAGAATCGCCGTTTCTCCTTTCGTTCAATCATTCGTGTATCTGTTGCAGCCATGACTGAGGTATCGCTCTGCTAATCTTTCATTTTTTTAACTTGCAACTTCAAAAAATGACTTTTCCCCCCTTTTTTCTACTTGCGAATTCCTACTAATTCTAACCAGATGTTAGGAATGGGTTATTCGTGGTTTATTTTGTGTACTCCTGATTGATTATCAACTGTGTCAATTTCTGATCACTTGTGAGATGAGCTCAATTTGGTAAAATGATTCAAATTTGTGAGTTGGTAATCTTTAGTTGAGCAACAGATCAAATAATGTGAAACCCTCTTTCAAAGAACATAGACCACTGTTGAATTGGTGCAGAGTTAATGATTTCAATTTGAAGTTCTATCACTGATGATTATCTTTCTCTGGGGTTGCTTATTGTGCTTCCTTCTTCATGCTTATTTCATTGTACATTTGTTAAGTGTAGTGTGTTGATGTATCTGCCTTCATATCTCATATCATCTATATTCTCTAGATTTTTACTCTTCAATTTTTAATTTATTTTTTTTTCCCAAGTTGTTTTTCATTTCACTGGTTCTTTGAGTTGTGCTGCATAAGTATGTTTGGTGATAGAGTAAGAGTGTTCGGATTAATTTGAAGGGTCATGATTTTTCAACTTTCTTGTATTGTACAAATCAAATGCAATATTCATGTTTTTTTTGTGTGAGGGTGTGGGGGGGGGAGATTTTTAGAAATTAGCTATTAGTTAGTTTCTGGTATTTATATTTAGGTATGAACATTTGGAAGTTAAATACCTACAACAATTTCATTCCATCCATTACAAAGTTTTTTGTTTCTTTAATCATCTTTTAGTTGGGTTTGCTTTTGTTTCTGATTTAGTGCTGCTCTACCTTTTTATTACTGTAATGGAATGTCCAGCCTTCTGTCATTGTATTTTGCATATTTCTTGTTTCCTTAACCTGTTACTTTTCTGTATATAGATTTCTTCTTCCTTTTCCCTCCGATTTCAGATTACAGAACCCAAGATAATATACTGATGTTTACTTTCTTGTGATGAACTTACAATTTTATAAATATGACTGTTTAATATTTTTCTCATTGAACAGTTTTGGGTTAGCCAAGGAAATAAATGGTGTGATTTCTGCAAAATCTTCATATCGAACAATCCTACGAGCATTAGGAACCATGAACTTGGTACGCGCCACAAGGAAAGTGTGGGCAATAGGCTTAACACAATGCGACAAGAGAAAGCTACAAAAGATAAAGAGTTAAAAGAAGCAGCCCGTGCTCTGGAGCAAATTGAAGCGGTAAGTGCTATTATATTGGTATTTATGTTCATATATAAGTTTACATATTTATGATGAGGTATTTCAGTTTTCTGATGACAAACGATAGTATCCCTGGCTTAAATTTTGATGTTAGTATTTAGCATCCAAAAGAAGATAAAACGGTTATGAATGAAATGTAATATATGTGTGTAAATCAGTTGATGTTTCTTTCTGTAATTACATATATGTTCTAAAATACTTACCTTATTAAAAAGTTATCTGTTTTAAAAAATTATTAAGTCAATCTTCTTCAAGTACCATTACTGCAATTCCTCCTCCATTAGGTGTGGTCTGCTCAGCAGCTATGGAGATTAGTGTAATTTCATTTACAAGAGAAAATGTCATTGCTGGGCTATTCTTCTTTAATTGTCTAATTAGCAGGTTATGTTGCTGCTCAAAATATGCTGTTGGTACCAACTTATTTTATCCTAAGATATCTCAGAGTGCAACACTTGACAGGATGGATATCCTGATTAAAAGGAAAATATATCTCTTAATGTGGGTATGCAAGTAGCACAATATCTGTCATTCACAACCTGTAGACTGTTAAGTACATAGCTACAGACATTTACATGACCTCCTTTTAGAAAAGATGCATTTCCTCTCCTTAGAAATGCAGCTTTATCTTTCACTTGCTTCTGTATTAATTGACATGATCTTATTGCATAGGTTCTCTTAAACTTTCACGAATAGAATTATTAATTCTTTTGTTTGTTTTTTTTTTTCATAAATTCTTCCAATTTGTCTTTTTGACTTGTTTTATAGTTTAAAGCAGAAATGGATTAACTGAGAGGAGATTGTGAATGAACAAAAATGTTATTGCTTAATTGTGTCTTTCTTTTATTGACCAGAAAGCGCAACGCAGCTATGACAAGGACATGGCTCGAGTAAAAGAGGCCAGAAGTACCAATATACAGGCCCTGGCTACTCATGATAATGGTCAAGCGACTACCAAGGGATCTGCTGTATCAGAAGGTATTTCATTTCTCTGCTGCCCTGTGACATTATACCTTTTACTATTTGGTTATAATTGTGTTGACTCTGAATTAGAAACATTGTCTTTCAATTTAATTCAAGTAGAGATACTTTTCCGAACAAAAGGAGTTTGTTATAAACTAGAGATATCTCATGAGAGTTCATAGTTTGTATTCATTTGTCAATTTTGAGATAAAAACGTTTACTAAGTTAAATTGAATATGAGTTAAACTATCATTTGACAATATTTCAGTTCTCCCACTTAATTATCTGGATTGCAGATATTTTAGGTTAAATAAGTCTTTTAACTTTCATAGACAAAGAAAACTACATGTTTGTTTCTTCCATTTCGTTTATCTTATTATCTTCTTGTTATTACTGCTTTCTTTTCATCTCTTCTTGGCCCAAGGTCTATCGGAAACAACCTTCCTACCCTCACAAGGTAGGGGTAAGGTCTGTATACACTCCACTCTCCCCAGGCCCCACCTGTGGGATTATACTAGAGATGATGTTGTTGTTGTATACAAAGAAATAATCTCTGGTATTAGTTTTTCATTCTTGTCGTTTGGTTTTTGGCTTTGTATTTACTGCTCATTCTTTGCAATTCCTTCGTGACTACCTTCGTTAAAGCGATATTGCAATTTGTGGTGTCTAGAGGATACATTGATTAATAGGCAAAGTTAACTAATCCTCTTGTTTTATGGGAACCACTCTATCAGGTCATTAATTCACAATATGAACAAATCAATGAAGCATCATGTAATGCTACTGTTCAGTTTCCCAGATGATAAATTTTAAAGGGGGTGAAAATTTCTTGTCCTAAAGATTTGCTCATTTTGCTTTAGTGGCAAAGTTCTCTTCTATGTCAGGGGATTCAAAGGGTGGTGAAGTGAAAAAGGAAATTAACATTGCTCGGATGGATTCTAACTGTATTGACAATTAACACAAAAGGTTTATGTCACTTAAGAGTTCCTTTCTCTTCCACATTTAGGCTATTTACATCACTTACTTCAAGGTTGAGTCAAAATGGTGGCCTTCTTAATGTTGTCTCGATAATTGTATGACTTAAATTTGTGTTTGTACAACAGAATGGGAGTATGACAGCTCATCCGGCTACTATTACAATCAAAGTAATGGATGTTCCTATGATCCTAACTCTGGCTTCTATTATACAGATGTTTTAGGTAAATTTGCTTTCCCAGAGATCCAATAAGCAACCCCACACTTTTTTTCTGGTGGCTTGTTTAATTGAATGAAATGTGACAGGTAGGTGGGTAACACAGGAAGAGGCGCTTGCTGCAACTCAAGTTTCTTCAACGTCCATTTCAAAGAAACCTTTAGCGAAAGCACCTGTATCAACAATGGGTGCTGGATCTTCAGAAAATAAAAGCACAGAATCTCATCAAAGTGGTCCTCCACCAGGACGTGTTGTTTCAACCCCTCCAAATCCCATGAGATCTGCTAAAGGTAAACCTTCTTCACTAATGGTTAACAAAAGGAAAAGGGAGAATGAGAAGCCAAAAGCTGTCACTGAGGAGGAAGCAGCAGCACGCAAGGCCAGGGAGGCTGCTAGGAAGAGAGTTGAAGAGAGAGAGAAATCACTGCTTGGTCTTTATAAGCATTGATTTGTGTATCTTTATCAAACATTTTCTCGCTGAAAGGAGGTGAGTTTTCAGTATGATTTTGTCTAGTCTGAATTCTAAACTATTAGTCAGGAAGCTATCAAGGAGCCATATTGAGTCTTTGTATGCTGTAAGACTTCACTGTGGTGGGTTCTTCAAGGTGCCTTGTTGGTTCATTTTATGCCCTTATACTTTAGTGAATGATGTTCTTTATGGGAAATTCTATTTTGTGCTAAAGATGTACACTTTTTTTGTTGACTTGAAATATTTGTCAAGTTTTATTCACTTTACGTATTATCTTGTTAGACCATCAAGGTCGTGCTATTTTTATTGAATGATCGCATGAGTAACTTTTCTAAAGAAAATTCATTGTTTTATTAGTTGGATTCTTCTGATATGCAAATCACTAGGGAAAATTCTCAACCTCGCTATCCAATTTCCTTAGAAGTACATCTAGCTGGTGTAGCACAGTAGTAACTACTAGTAAGTTGCATTAGAATGGAATTCA